TTTGTCCATTTTTGTATGTTGAAATTAACTTACCTAACTGTAAATAGTTGCATAATAAGTTAATTGATTTTTATTGGAATGTACTACATAGTTTATAATCTTCTGTTGGGATGAGAAGACATTATAACCAGGCTCTCTTGTAACTGGAATATCTTTAGTTTTACCCCATACCTACCTTGCCCAGAATGCCCCATTTTTGTTCATTTGTGTTCCCACAGAACTTTCTGCCTTCTAGTATTTTATTTTTCCAGTTAGTATATTCTCATGAAATTAATTCTAGCCCTCTTGCTTACTATTTGTTAGACCTTAAGTCATTTTACCTCTCTAAAACTCAGTTTCTTCACCTACAAAATGAGAGATTTAGTATAGATGATCTCTAAGCTCCTTTCTAGCATTAAACGATCCTTGTGATAGTTAATAATATTAGGCATAGAGGCAGAAAGGAGCTTGGGCAGTGAAAAGACCAGTCGAAATAACATGGAGGGTTTATGTTGGACAGTAGTAGGAGATGAGGTTGAATAACCAAGATGAGGTTGGATTATGGAGGAGTTTAAATGTTAGGCTGATAACAAGCTTTGATGGTCAGTAGTAAACCAGTGTAGGTTAATGAGCAGTAGTGGCATGAAGGGATATGAGGGGGTAGGTAGAGTGAGACTATGGGACTTTTTTTTAAAGGTAAGTCAATTGTGAAAAAACATTTTCTGCACATGATGAAAAAGAAAAGAAATTGAAGGGATAGAAACATAATTTAGGACTGTTAATCTAGCAGCGGTCTATGTTCCTTACTGGAAAAAAAGTGGATAGTGGCTTAGGAACATTGTCAAAGAATTACAGTTCATTGGGTCTGAATGTGTCGACCAAGGTATGGAAATAATGTTTCATCTCTAAAGGGAGAGGTCACCACTTTGTCCTTGCCATGATCAGATTACCTTCAGTACAGTGTGAGTGTAAATGTCTGGCTTCTAAATGCTCACCAATTTGATCTGCTGATACAGGTAACTAGACATTAAAATAAAGAAGTTGGGCCACTTTATTTTTTGGCTCACTGCAATGTTGGCATTCAATTAACTAAAATAAGCTACAGATATCCAGATTAGATAAATTTTAAAATCTACTTGAAACTTTAATAACCAAGAAGCATTAGCTGTCCCTGCTGACCATCTTCATTTCAGGACAGCATGTTTAGTCATTTGGCTGGAAGCAATTACTGTTGTCATGTTATCTATAGAAACATAGACTAGATTCTGAAATGAAAGGAAATCCAAGGGGTCAGTTTGCCTTTGCTTGAGCACCTCCAGTGACAAAATGTTTACTATCTTAGGAGCAACTATTTTCCTTGTTGGAGACTTCCAGTTGTTAGAAAATTCTTTCTTAACTGAAATCTGGCTCCTTATAAGCGATCAGACTTACCTCTGGAGATACTTAGACTACTTCTATTCCCTCTTCAGTGTGACCTCCATTAAGATATCTGAAGACCTTGGTCATATACTCAGTTGATCTTCTCTTCATTCTAAAATCCCCTGATTTTTAGCTGATCCTTAAAAATCATCTGATCCTTATGCTGTGTGGTTTTGAGCCTCCCTCTCTACCCTAGACATGATCCAGCTTGTCAGTATTTTCATACTTCAACGGTCCTGTGATCTTATACCTGAGCAGATCTTGGCACATTCCGTCCTGTCGCGTTCAGGTCATCTGTAGAGAACCTGCCAGTAGTATGTAGGAAGTTTTCCTCTTCTTCCTTTAATAGTTCATATATACCAGGATAGCACTGAGTGTTTGTCTTTATTCCTCATTCTCACTCACTGTTTTACCTCCTTTTCTAGTCATCCATGTCCTCAGTTATTCCTTTTATGCCAGTTATTTGTAATATGTTGCAGCCTGCTTATTCCTACCATGTATCTTATCACTCTTTGGACCAAGTAATACATCTCCTTGGTGTCCCTCTTAAAATGCAGTAACCAGAATAGAGCCCATTACACTAGATTGGTCTGAATTTTGATTCAGTTCCAGTTTGATTGCATCTGTGGTGCTTTCTTGGGCTTCTACTTTACTGGTTCATTGTTCTTAAGAATTTCTTTTCATCATGTTTCATCATGTGCAGAGAATGTTTTGGGGTTTGATTTTTTTTTTGTTGTTCTGTTTTGTTTTGTTTTTTTTCACAATTAACTTGCCTTAAAAAAAAGTCCCATAGTATCTCTCTGTCTAGACAGATATTACTAATACCTTTGTGGGATCTAAGTGTGAATGTTATAAAATTAATTATTTTTATCTTCTCAGAGATAAAAATTATACTAGCAAGCTGAGGTGGTAAGGCTTTTGAGCTTTATTCAAAATTGTACCATACTATACCATACTAAGATTCATGAGTATACCTTGCAGTCTGATTACAGCCTACTTTCCAGATTGATTCCATATGACTTCTCACACATTACATTCCAGGGAAATCAGCATTCTTGCTATTCCCCAAATTCAGGTCCGTCTCCTCTGTGCTTTTGCATAGGTGTTCTCTTTTATGCCTAAATGTGGGTAGAGCACTGGAAGTCCAGTCTCAGGGACTTAGTAGCTGTGCAATGCTGGGAAAGTAATTTCCTCTGTCTCCTCAGCTATGAAATGTGGATCATAATAACGTCTACCTTCCAGGATTGCTGTGAGGATCAAATGAGATAATACTTGTAAAGTGTCTGGCACGTAGTAGGCACTCAGTCAGTGCTTGTTCCCTTTCTGACCCCTTCAGGGCATGACTCAGGGCCACTTCTGTTGGAAAGCTTTCTTAATACCCATAGTTGTTACATCTCTTTTCTTCCTATAAGTTATCTTCTCGGTGTATTACCCAGTAGAATGTAGTCCCTTCTAGGGCAGGGACTGTCTCCTTTTGTTTTGGGGTTTGCTTGCTTTAGTGGCCTGTGCTTTGCAGCTGAATAAATGCTTGTTGGGTGTAAAAAATGGATAATTGAAGTAACTGAAGATATTGTCTCTATAGAATATTTGCAGTCTGTCTAGATAAAAGCAGCTGAGAGGTAGCA